AATTTGCTTGTGCGTCCTCAAGGAATTTTAACCCCCTCACACGTTGCCAAGGTAATGGATTAAATCCTCCCAGGATGAAACGGAATAAACCTTCCTGCAACAGTGGCAATACAAACTGCAGGATACCAACGAACTCCAAAAATGGAGCAAAATCACACTTACGAATTTGAGAGAGAGAGACTGTGAATTAGAATGTAGTATTTTCAGAAAGAAGGAAGTTTTGTAATTTTTTCAGTGTGTTAAAAACGAAGCCATGCCTAAGAATTTATAGGCAATTATTGGAAGAGGTGTGATGTTTGTTCTGGAAAAGGTGTCTGTTCAGAAGTTTGCGCGTCCTGCCGCGGTCCTACCGCGATTACGCCAGGACCGCGGCCAGAGTGGCCTTCTGAATCTGCAGCAGTGTTCTGGCGCGGTCCTACCGCGGTCACGCCCGGACAACGGCTAACTAACTGACATTTAATTAATTATTAAATAATTAATTAAATAAATTTTGTCCAAAAAGCCGAAGCCGAGCCGAGCGAGCGACGACGACGATGGCGCGAGGGTTCATTCTCTTCAACTCCTTTTAAGAGTTTTAAGAAGTGATTCTATATATACACACACAAATGTAGTTGTCCCTCACCAATGAGGGACAAAGTTCAAGACAAAAGCTCACTTAATTCAAATTTTTATTTCCCTCCATTTTATTTTCCACCATTTTCAATTCACACTCTTAGACTTTTAAAGCCCAATGCTTAAAGTCTTTAAAGCCCAATGCTTAAAGTCCAACAGTTCGTACCATAGGCTTGCCCGTAATATAAGTCTCTACTAATCTAAGCTCGCAAAGTCTAGGATCAAGTAGGACTTTATAGATTGTAATGTAGGCTAAAGGACGGGTAGGATATATTTGAGAAAATAGTGACTAACCCTCCTAAGCACTTTAACACACTACACTTCACTTCCAAACACCTTCTTGTCATGACCTATTCAATGTCTTGCCATGAAACCATACACATTTAGGCCCTTCTTCATTAAGCACATCAAGATATAGATATTTACTAGCCCACACAAAGATAGAGGTGTTATTTTTTTTACTCTCCTTAATTTGATATTTTCGGCTAGTGCCTTTTGTTGTTTATACACAACTGCACCTTGTCGGCCTTTCTATGGTTTCACTCAAAAGCTACCCAATCTCTTTCTTTGCTCTTCTAGCTACTTGAGTATTTTAGGAGGTAAAGGTTCAACAAGATTTAATTAAGAACAAAGACTACAGGCTCAAAAGGGGTGACCATTAATTATATTACTGGTAGGCAAATGGGGTAAATGGTCAATCAAAGAACGCCTATATCACTTCCCAAACTTACAAGACTTAATCATTTCACTTCGACGTGCACATGGGGCAAGTTCTAGACTAGAAAGGATATCACAAAGTACACCAAAATCTCACCTCACACGAAGCACATGACTCACTCAGGACGGCTCGAACCCGACTCTCAATTTAAAGCAACTAGAGTCATCATAAAATTGAAGCACACTGGCATTAATCACAAGAGTCAAAAGATGAGCCTCGGTGTAAAACGAAAGCCACACGTATTTTCAAGGCATGTAATTACAAAGACCATGAAGAAAGTACTTAGTTCAAATGCTCTAGACCTAAGCCCCGATATAAAATATGTCAAAAGCACAAATTACTCAAGCTTCTTCTCATTCCATTATCAATTCAAAAAGAAAAAAATGAAAATCTTTTTATGTTTTTCGTTGCACTTTAAACCCTCAAGAAAACTGTCTAGGAAATCATCGTCGGAAAAGTCCAAAACTTTATAAAAATTCTACCTAAAAAAAACTACTACTAGGTTCAAAGAGTCATCCCTTGGAAAAGAACCGTGGCCATAAGAAAAACCAAGAGATAAGAACATCCAAATAGTTTCTTCACCCCACACTTAAAATTGTGCATTATCCCCAATGCACACTCATAAATATAAGAAGGTAAAAGAAACTCCCTGGTAGGCCAAAGACTGAAGCATTAGCAGCTCATGGGGTACTCAGACTTCTTTTAAACTTGGTTCTTTGTACGGGCACCCCACACTTAGTTCTAACCATATAACTTGTTTTTGCTTTCTTCCAATAGCCTTGCTTCCCATGCTCCTAGAGAAATAAAAAATAACACTACAAAAATATTACAATAAAAAAAGCAGTAAAGTTGGGTTGCCTCCCAACAAGCGCTTGATTTAACGTCGCGGCACGACGTAAACCACTTTTTGCCTCCACCTTGAGCTTATGAACTGAACCCCAAGTTTTGACTCAAGCTTTTGATTATGCTCTTGGGGTGGTACAAATTCTTGTAAGCCAAAAATTAAATAAATTCTCATGCACTTTTTGGCTCTCTACCGAGGAGTCTCACCTTGCCTAGACGGCCTTGAAAATTTTAAAATATAAGGCTTATCTACCTCTTCCTAGGATTTATTTTTATACTCGTAAAGATCCATTCCTATTTCACTGTCCGAACATAATGTAGAGAAGTGTTTGGAATGAGGTCCAACGCGCTCAAATACATGAGCTTCAAGATTTTCATCATCCTCGACACCAATCATACTAGAGTCAACTAAATTTATATCCTTAACGTCCCTGGTTGACTCTAGTATTACTTCTTCAACATCAGCATCCTCAAATTCTAGTTGGTTAGATTGTTGGTGTTCTACTCTGGATTAGCACCTTAATTTCAGTATCTAATTCATGCTCTTCTTGACTACTATCACAAATATTGGCTTGTTGAGCATTGAATGCTTCAACTAGTTGACTCACTTGTGCCTCCAGGTTGTGAATAGTAGCATCCTGCCTTTGTATGTGCAGTTGTTTCTCATTATTTTGTTCCACAAGGCACCTTAGTATATCATTGATCTAATTCAGGTCATCGTCCATGGGTTCTTTGCTCCTATTAACTTCATAAGAAAAAGAAGAACCAACAAAGTAAGGGGTAGGGAGAAGATAAAATATATAAGCACAACCATGAAAGCTACCATCTTGACCACCACATATATCCCACACATTCCACACATAAGATTGAGTTGGTGCGCATAACTCGCTCTCATGAATATTTTGATAATTTTGCCGTGGTGGTTTTCTCCACAATAAGCATTAGGAAGATCAATAGTAGAATTACCAACATCGAAACTCTCATAATTCCAAGATGTCGTGTTTCTCAATTTAACAAGTAAAACAAAAGTTTGAAAATCAAATACAAAAAATAAAAATAAAAGTTCAAACTTGAAACCTAGCAACGTACACCTACAACTACACCGTTAATTCTCCGGCAACGACGCCAAAATTTGATCACGCTCAACTATGCCTTATAAAAAGTACTACGCGGTCATTGCAAATATAATCCGGTTTACAAGTCCGGAGTCGACTCCCACAGAGAACTAAGGCTTAGCTACAGTTGTTCAGTATCGCTAAGAAACACAAGTCCAAACAATTTTCTAATTATAAAGATTATAATATTTATTTTTACCTAATTAACTAACAAATCTAAATAGCAGTAAAACTATCAATTAACAAGGATAAGGATTGAAGACAAGATTAAGGAGGTCTAGAGTTATGATTTCTCCAATTGTCGGAATCCTTCCCGCTATGCCTTCTATAAATTTCGCCTACGTTTTCTCTACTGATCGTGAGTACTTCGGTTGTCGTAAGTCTCTCTCGAGAAACTACCACAATTCACTAGATGTATTCTCTCGAACTACACTAGCTGGAACTAATTCACCACTCACTACGGTCGCACCAAGGTTTCGTTATCTCTAATTTCGCCTTTAAACCCTCTGTATTGATCTCCCACATACGTTAGGAGTAATGTTGTTCAACAACTACCTAAATATGTACTCTTTCTCGAGCAGTACACACTAAAGAGTCACAATCAATTGATGGTCATTCAATCAACAGCAATAAACACATAGTTGAATAAGTAAAGAAATCCAACGGCTCAATTATATAAAAAACATAACAAGAATTCATCCTCCAAAAGGTTAACAAATTAGCTATTCATAATAGTATGCAAAACTACAATACTGGAATTCATAACCAATACATGGAAATATAGGAAGAAAGAGGGAAAAACGTGAAGTTGAATCCTTTTCCTTCTTGCTCTTAGCGTGTTCTTGCCTCCCCAAAGTCTTCTCTGCCTCCAAAGTAGTGTCTCTCCTTAAAAGCACGTTTTAAGATGTATTTATAGCGACTAGGGTTTGTATGGGGAAAATTTTCCTTCTCCTAATTCGGATTGGAAAAGCTGATTTTTTCTGCTCCGGTGACGGTCTGGCGAAGTGAACCTCGCTTCGCTGTCCGGAACTTTCCTAATTTCTTCTGCTCTGATCTCGGTCTGGCGAAGTGAACCTCGCTTCGCTGTTTGGGACTTTTCTCTTCAGTTCTTTCTTCACCAATTTTTTCTCCTATTTGATCCTTTTCCGCATAAGTTTGTTCCTACGCATAAGAAACACGTAATGAACATATTTTCACTTCAAAAGCGGTGTGAACTCCCGCAAACACACTCAAAACATGCACTTTTCATCCTTTATCAAAGACCTTATTTCTACGGGAGGGCAGAGAAATTATTTCCTATAGACTCTCGGCTAAAGAAAAGATGAAAAGTATTGACAACAAGTAGTAACAACAACCAAATATTAAGAAAACTAAAACAAAAGATAGCAATCAAACACTATGCCAACAAAAACAAAAGAAAAAAGAAAAACGCTCATTACAAAGTGTTAGTGATACCATACGTTCACTATTGATATTGGTCTGAGAAAGGAAAAAAAAATGCTCGATTACCTACCAACTTTCTATCCTAATTCTCAATTTTAACCTCAATACACCAAATCTTTTGGTAAATTACACCTAACTTGTTACTGCATGACGTTCATTTTCTATACTAAGCGTGTGTATATAACTTTGTCATTACAAAGTTGTCATGAAACATATTTACGAGTGTTCAACCAAAATAATATTCAGAATAAAAGTGAAACATAACAAAGGAGCCAGCTGAATTTTTCTCCAAAAAGGCTAATTAATATAAGCTAGAGAAAAATGACATTAACTGTTCAATTTGCACGTCAAAAGGAGGAGCATAACGGAGTTGCACAAATAACATAATTCCTACATTTTATGTACTACTAACAACTAAACTACTACTATCATTTTTCAATGACTTGTTTCTGAATCTAGATCAACCTCCTTGTTGTTGTGCTGTTGACAGATCTACTAAAACTTGTCCGACAAAATATTAGACAGAGAAACAAAAGTGAGCAGCAACATTCTCATCTCCTGCAAAAGTCACCAGTTGTTCATTAGAAGAGACAAACATGACCAATGACAACCAAGAAAGTGACCACATATTTAACAGGGTAGAGTTAGGGGGTTGGGGTGATAGTGGCCCTCACATCATCTATATGTTGTTCAATAATCTCTAGTAGCATATATATGTGAGATCATGTTTCCTATCTCCTACCTACAGAAACATCTACAATTAATGGGCTCAAAGTGACACTTAGTTCTATAGTTATTCTTGCACTTTGTGGTCCGGTCCTTCCCGGACCCGCGCATAGCGGAAGCTTAGAGCACCGTGCTGCCCTTTAACTAGTTGCTAATATTGCTAATATGAAGCATATTTTGTTCAAGCAGCTAGCTGTAATTACAGTTGTCTGCAGACTATAACACAAGCATGTCAACATTTGCAAGTTGTATCTTTAAAAATTATGAATAAGATGAAAAGTCATACTTCAACATATGAACATTAATAAATCTGTCCATTAGACTATTGTATAAATGATGTACTTATATATGCCTTTTCCCCTGAAAATCTGGCTTCAGATCAAACAAACCAATTGCAGAAGTTCATTATTGACTTGGACAAATGACAACTTCCTAAAAATAAGGAGCAAGTTTCAGAATTTTCAAATCCAGTAGATAGTAAGCGTAAAACATATATGACTTTAATCCAATGGAAAGCTTCTCTCTTTCATTGTCACTTTGATATAAACTAATGTATTAGAAGCAATATGTCTCTGGAGTTTACATATGGAAAGAGTCTTAAAGAGTCTGCAGCTTGTGAATGATAAATTATATCGTCATTTGTCATATCACCAAACACTATATTCTGAAAATATTACTGCAAACCAAAAAAAAGACATCAAGATTCTTTAAAGTCCTCGTACCTGGATATCGAAAGGCTTCATTGCTTGAGCCTTTGTAGATATGTACCCTAATTTGTGGAGGTTTCAGTACTTTCACTCTCACTGACATTGTTTACCCTTATGATATACACCTACAGAGAAAGGAAAAGAGATACAGTTCAGAACTTCAAATTACTTTCCCTGAATAATCTGCTTCTTTCATTGTACTCGTGTCAACGAGCTGTTGTCATTAGAAAGAACATATTATTGGACAATGTTGCATCTCTCAACTTTCTTGAACATAGGGTATGGAACATGAAATTTGAGCTAAAGATGCTCAATGACAAACTTACAAACATCCTTAATATTCAAAAGGGTCACCTTAAATTTTGTAGGGCGTATCAAATGGAACACAATTGCATCTCCATCGGCCAAGTCATGATCCACAGCAAACTTCTTCCATCCGCCACTTAGTCCGTTCTTTTGGGCCAAGTATACTGTTGGCCACTCTTCTCCTGTTTCATCTATTAAGGTGATAGTGTCATCTCTTCTTGGAAGATTCTTCCTGCAGAAATTAGATGGGAGACCCTGCATTCATGAGATGCAAATGAATTAGCATCTTCCTTGTTCATTCTAATTGATTCGATTATCGTAACTGCAAGGCAGTTTGATATTAGAATCCTAACCATAACTATAGAATAGAAAGCAAACCCCTCAAAAGATTGCAACAGTATGCAAAACTCATTATGTGACCTATAGCATGCTTTCAGAGACATAAAGAGAAGCTTTAGCAAGTTGATTGCTTTATTTTCTAAGTAAGTAGTTCTGCTTGTTATAGGCAGACAAACAGTTCGTATAGTTATCTTTTAGGTGACTTGATAGTGTAAGAATCTGTTTAAGTGTATAGAAGTTAAAATCTTTTTGCATTGATCGTATTAAAATTGGGCGCTTTATACTTTTAGAGGTAAGTGTGAACTTCTCTTTTGGCCCATAATTTTGAACTCTTTGGAAATGTAAAGTGATAGATTTCTAAAGAGGACTATATAATCTATAAAATTTTTGGGCAAAGACAACACTTCTTTGAATCAATACATCAATCAACTACGCTGCAATCCCAAACTAGTTGGGTTGGCTATATGGATCCTTTGTATTTTTCCACCTTATTTGGACCTATTTCATTTCAGAACTGAGCAATAATTCCACTTTTAGCTTGGCATTCTGAATGTTGGATCATCCTATAAAGTTTGTAATTAGGTGCAGCATTTTTCATTGAATGAGCAGTTAATACAACTGATTTCCAAATCGTTAAGTTATCCTATGTGATGACCTAAATTTTAGCTACTTACCTGCCCACAGAGTCAACACTGACAAAATTTAAGTTGTATGCACCGACAGTGCAAAAAATATTACTAACACAGTTACACCACGTAAAAAGTAATTGCAGGCAACTCTATTTAATAAGCATTGATTGATAACTTAGAATAAATGCCGGTATGTAAAACCATAAGAGGTTAAAACTGACCAGCCAAAAACCTCCAGAAACATGGGAGGGAAGCATTGATCTAACTAATATAGGATAGTCAGGTCCAAGACTTGCTTCAAGTTTCTCTGCTTTCTCTATCGAAGCAGCCCTTTCTTCGTCCGTAGCATATACCATATTCAACGAATCCCTCTTCCTTGGAGTGGACATCCTAAACAAACAAACATTGAACGCATTACACGACATATTTATATGTAAGCTTTTTCATTTTCACCTGCAGCAAAAGGGTAAAATGAAAGCCTTTTACAAACTAAAATAAAGTATTACCTTCTAGGTATCATCACCCTTTCATAATAAATCACCTGTACTCCAAAAATGGGTACATAAATTTAGTAAAATATGATTCAAACATAGCCAGAATATCATCTATTTCGGACTCAAAAGGGGAAAAAAAGAAGAAAATATACTTCTTTGTATTCAGGGGCAGGTTTGTTAGCAACACGAGGTGATCTTCGAACTGAAACAAGCTCTGTTCTGATAATCCTAGGTTTCACCTTCTTCATCTATTAATTCCCAAAAAAATAGACAAAAAATAAAAAGAGAAAAGTGGGTTAATCATTTGGGAAATTATAGCGAAAATGGAGGACAGCAAAAAGAGAGAAAAGAAGAAGAATAAAAACGTACAGGAGAAGGTTTGGGGGAAGAGGAAATTTTGAGAGCTTGAGTAAGCAAAGGGAGATTGAGTTCCTCCATTCTTTTTTTGTTTTCTTCCAATCGCTGTTGGCGTAACTTCTCATATTTGACCTTCGACATCACCATTTTTGGGCTTTTCTGGTTCTGGATCTTTTTGAGTTTTTGACAAAAAACCTTGTATTCTGAATGTTACAAGAGATTGAAAAAGATAGAGATGAGAAGATTTAACAAAGAGACATTTCTTATAGATAGTAGAGAGAGCAGAGTCGACCGTTGGAATACCACTTCAGTCTCGCACCCCCACCCCACCCCCACCCTGCTACCCGCCCCGAGATTAGCCTCTGCATTTCTTGAATAGTGTACGGAACTTAGCTTCTTATTGGGCAAAGTCTAATCAAACCGCCAAATTAGCGATTTCAAAATCTTCTTTTTCCATTTTGGTAAAATAAAATTTCCTTTACTCTTGATGGAAAAGAAAATCAGTTCTTACTTATGGCTGTTTGGACATAAGAATTGTAAAATATAAAAAAAAAATGATTTTTTTTCAAGTGAAAATGGTATTTGAAAATTAGAGTTGTGTTTGGATATGAATATAATTTTGAGTTAGTTTTTGAATTTTGTGAGTGATTTGAGTAAAAATTTTAAAAAATACCTTTCTGTAGTTTTAAAATTTTTGAAAAATTCCAATATTCATCTTCAAGTGAAAATTGAAAATTTTATTTTATGGTCAAACATTAATTTCAAATAAAAGTGAACTTTTTTTTTGAAAAAAATTGAAATTTTTTTTTATGTCCAAACGGACTCTTAATATATTGCACAAATAAGATAAGGGATCGTTTGGTACAAGGATAACGATAATAATATCGAGATAGAATTCGAGATTGTATTTATCTCATATTTGGTTATTAGCTAATCCCGAGATAATTTTTTCACTAAAATAGTAAAATTAACTATCCTGACCCATTTCACCATTGTACCAAAGACCCCTTAGCTCCTTGTTATTGCACCATATGAATCATGAACGCACCTATACTTCGAAGCCATTTTTGTATAGTGAGAAACTGAGAATTCATCATCATTACTAAGTACTAACTCGTTTTATTTAAGTTGACCGAGTAACCAACAATGCGAGCAGGCTCACACAAGAGGGCAGCCCGGTGCATTAAGGCTTCTGCTATGTGCGGGATTTGGGGAAAGGCCAGACCATAAGGGTCTATGTTACGCAGCCTTACCCTGCATTTCTGCAAGAGGATATTTTCACGGCTCGAGCCCGTGGCCTCTTGGTCACATGGCAACAAATTTACTAGTCACGCCAAAGTTCCTATGTTGTTGTTTAGCGCAAAGAACTTGATGATAATTATAACAGTTCTTACGGTTAATGTCTTTTTACTTATAAAGAGTCAAATCCATGCAACAAAATCCAAATTAACCGACAAGTATATTCATGTCATTTTGTCCAAACTTAAACTCAGTATAATCATAACGCATGATATACAGTTAAAAGGAGCGCTTTGTTGGAAAGAACAAAGATAAACCCAAGATTAGCCTGTCTTATATTCTAAATGAGCAAAGTGAGAAATTCTGTACAATCAGAGTAAATGCAATAAATGAACATGACAAGCTTAGAAAAAGTAACACTTGGTAAATTTGTTTTTACATATCAAACTCTATCCAAAATTAGGTCACTGTTTAGCCGATTTTAAGTAATGAACCTCTGAATTCCTGAGAATTAACCTTATTCCTGATAAGAGTAATTATCATTTTCTTTCCATTGCATTCTCATGTTTGTGTATTCTTGATAATCCCATGTCATTTTTCTCTTCACTTAGCAAGCTGCTACGCATCACCAACTGCAAATCCTACAATCTTGAACGACGAATGCATTTCATAGGATTAAAAGGTGAATGCCTTCGTGACGATGGAAATGATGCTTTCCTGAAAGTTGGCGATGACCTTACGTCCCAATCTTCAACAACCTTTGGGACACACACATCAAATAAAATTTGACCAAGAACACCATGAGCATTAATTCTTGGTGGGCTTGGAAGAGGAATGTATCGTTCTTTCTGTTCGTGCTGGACTGACCCAACATTACTTCCCTCGTGATACTCTACAGAGCTCGGTACAAAGAAGTGGTCGTTCAACTCGAGAGCAATTCTCTGGAAGCTTTGATTTGCAGTAGCAGCGGCTTGCCTAAGATTGCCTAGAGGCTCGGAGATTTCATCATGTGATCCTTCCAACCCCATCTTCTCCCCTTCAAGTTGACGAATTCTTTGAGAATAGATCATAGCAGCTTTTCCAAGAACCTCAGTCACTGCGGCCTTGTATTCAAGTTGGTGGTACCGATAATGACCTGGGTGATACAAGCCACAATAGAAGAGTTTCATCAAAATCACGACTGTAAAAAGCTTTAAAACCTGCATATACTTAATATGATGTGTACTATCTGATTCCAACTTGATGAATCCTAGCTAAATGTCTATGTCTGTAACAATTCCGTAAAACAAAATGCTCGACCTCAGAAAATGACAGGAAGAGACATAGATGATTACAACTGAAGATCGACCAGCGATGTCAACAAGACTGCTTTGGAAATTGGGAAGTACAGAAAGAGAGCCTGCTTATCTGATTACAACTTGAGGAATCCTAGTGAAACGTCGATGTCTCTAACAATTCCATAAAAAGATATGCTTGATCTCAGAAAATGCCAAGAGAGACATAGATCGATTGCAATGGAAAATCGACTGGAGATGTCAACAAGGCTCCTTTGGAAATTGGGAAGTACGGAAAGAGAGCCTGAGGACAGAAATACAAGATTCTTGTGGATATATGTGACTCCAGTTCTTGAAACTAGGTCTTTCAGTCTTTCCTAAGCACGTTAGCACATTACTATCAACATCTACAGGCCATTACTATATAATTTCATCTGAAGTTCTATTCTTTCTCCTCCTACTAATGTGTAAAAGATAAATATCATGAGGGTCATGTTCTGGTCCGCTACTGACATTAATTATCAGAATCCAAATAGCAAATAGAGTAATATCGGCAAAGGGTCAAAACTATCCCTATTGCTTGGTAAATGGTTTACATTTACCCTTCATCCATCTATCAGCCCAAAAATACACACTATTTAATTTTAATAATAAAAATAGGGGCCCTATGTTTAACGACAGACCAGGTGGGCCTTCAAATTAATGCATTATCATCTTTTTATAGGGCCACGTGGCACTCTTGTCCCAGAAACCAAATCTGGGTTTAATTTCAGACCCATTAACCGTATCCAACCCTAGTTTTTGTTACCCGCCTAAAAAGACCACAATAGAGTATTAGTCCGAAAAACTGCTGCCGGCAACCCTTTTGTCTTCGACTCTCTCTCCTTTTTTTCTTTTTTCTCTTCCCTGACTTTCCAGGTGAGAAACATGATGTCTCCATTCTCTTTTCATCTCTCTATTTTTTTTTTCAAATCCTTTTCCTCTTTAATAAAGTAAATCTTTTTTCTGTTCATAAATGAGCAGAACAAATTAACAATGAAAGTGTTCTTTACCTCCTCTTGTTGGATTGGGGGTGGAGGAGTCAACTGGTAAACTTTTAATTTTTCCAAGATAAAGATGTTGCTCACCAATAAAACAGAATCTCATATGAAATTTGTTTTCATAGCGTCATGAGACCAGTTGCAGTCAGTGGTCACTCGGTGCAAGTTATAGGGCACACCAAATTAGCGCTCTAGCTGTGATTTTAGGTCTCGTGATTGTTTCTGCAATTGCTGTTTGGTTCACAGGAATTTTAAATTTTTTGCTCATTGGTGTAGCAGTAGGATTTTTGGTGACAGTGATTCATGCCGTATTGAGGAATCCAGAAGATTTGTTTGTGGATGAAGATGCTGTTAATTTGACCCGAGTAACAAAAACTAGGGCCGGATCCGATTAATGGGTCGAATTAAACCTATATTTTGTTTCCGGGACAAGAGTGCCATGTGGCCCAGTAAAAAGATGCCAACGCATTAATTGAAGGTCCACATGGGCTGCCGTTAAACATAGGGGTATTTTCAATAATAAAAATAACATATTGTATATTTTTGGACTTATAGACGGACATCATGTTATTTTTGGACTGATAGATAGGCAGAGGGTAAATGTAAACCATTTACCAAACAATAGGGGTAGTTTTGACTCTTGGTGTAGTAATATTAG